TATTATTTTTTAATTTTGGTTTAATTATTTATTATTATTATTTTTTAATTTTGGTTTAATTATTTATTATTATTATTATTTAGAATAATCTTTTAGATCTCGACAAGCTATCTGGGTTCATGAAAAAGATTTGATCTCTTACAGGTATTGACTGCACTATCAGAAAGATCGTTAATAATTCTATTCGAAGCATACAGCTCAAAAGTTAAACGATGCTGGCGTTGACATTCAAGCCGGAATGAGTATTACAAATCATCGTATTATCGTTATTGAGGCATATAATATGTATCGTACTCAAAAATGAGTAACAACAGATTACGATTGATAAATTAGTTGTGCCACCTGACACTAAAAAGCACGTACGTACGTATGTACGCACGCACGTATAGGGATGGGAGGGTTTGATTTAGTTCGATTTGGTTTGATTGATGCAGGATCTGCATAAATTAGAATTTATATTAAACCAAAGCAAACCAAATCAAACTTCCCGTATACTTGTTTTATTGTGTATTGGTTATATTATATACAGTAGTATATATTGGTATTCAATCATTGAAATTATTAATTAAATAGGATAATAAAACTGACGGTTAAAATAACAAAGATGATGAAACCAATAATCAAAATGACATGGGTGAAAATATTCATGAAGTTAATAAAGACATTAAAAATATTCATAAAGTTAATAAAGACATTAAAAATATTCATGAAGTTAATAAAGGCATTGAATATATAATGATATTAACAACGAACACAAGTAAAATTAAGTTCAATAGGGTTCCTATTGCTATCAAATTTTGCCTCCAAAAAAGGTCAATAGTCAATAATCGGTATCATTTTACCTATCAATAAGATATCAATAGAATAATACCTATTGATGTCTTATTGATAATATGATTCCGATTGTTGACTACTGATATCCTATTGACCTCTTTTGGTGCCAAAATTTGGCTGCAATAGGGATGTCTATTGGTGCTTATTGCATTTTTATTTTACTTGTGGAATTCAGCAAAGAAAACAAAAATAGCCACAACGATGATTATCAGTCATACTTACTCGGTCCCAATCACCTTTTACTTCCTTATCCATAACAATAATGGTCAAGAATTCTCTTCTAAGGTGTAACTCTTAAAATTTCTAATTGTAAAATTAAAATTTTAAGATTATTACTGTTACTCGCTAATGTTACTAATTTCTTTTTTTTTTTAGGTATGTAAACGTTTGGTATCTGCAATAAAATAATAACAAATGAATGCTTTAATTATAAGCTATATATTTCTCAGTTTAATTTTAAAATGTAAAACTAAGTAATTTAATTGTTATTAGTGGTAATTCATTGAATCGACAAGGTCATTATGTTAAACGCACAGGTGAATGATGGCAAATCAGGTGCCTGATTCTAAGCTGGTGTTTGAACCAATTTAGCTTCGATCGGGAACAAATAGTGATTAAGGTCAAAGGGTTAAATCGATAAACTAACACACATAATTACAGGTTACAAGATTTCTCTTTATTAACATAAATCAATACATCGAATTATACAATAACTATTAACAATTGTTTTATTTCCTTCTTATACTGTATATCTTTAATTTTAATCCCTCGTTTGGGGTTTCAATCACCCACCTATGCCACAAACTATACCAAAATAACAATAATGATAATATGATAAAAATTTGAACATGACACTGCGATTACTACCCGATTGATGTTAATTTTTGTTGCAACAAAAATCGACATCAATCGGGTAGTAATCGAGTAGTAACCAGCTTAAAATTAGGAACCTGATTTATATCCAATTTGCTATCATTCGATCTATGACGCTATTAACTAAGCTTCTTATGTGAAAATTATTTAAATTATTTAAATTATTTTAGTTATTAAATGCAAAGACCTTCGAGTCTTGAATCCTACTATTTCTAAAACGAATTTATGGCAATAGGCATTCATTTAATAAATATTATAGTGGATTTTAACTATGTAAATTTATTAATAAAATTATCATTGGGTCTAAAACACAAATTTTAATAATAAAATCTACATAGTCACGGAAAGTTATTTTTCATGTGCAGATGTAGCAAAGATACTGGAATTCATACAATAGTACTCTAGATGTAATACTTTATAATTTTTTTTTTTTTTTTTTTTTTTTTTTGTAAATAGTGTATTGCATAGAAAAACGAATTATCGTCTAAAGGGTAACATTTGTGAATATTTTCATCAATTAAATTTGCATGCGAGTTGTGACGGAAAAAATCTTTACTAACCAGCAAACGATTTGCCTCAAATATACGTTTATATATACGTTTATAATAAGAAAATTCAACCAATTAGATCTATAATAATTTTCAGCACGAAGTGTAATTTTCTTATTAAAAGTTATAATAAACGATAATGATCATTGCAAATTTTTTTTTATTAAAAATATTTTTTATTAACAATATGATTTTTAATATTTCAAATTTAATGAAATAAGGTTATTATTTTTATAAAGAATCTCTGCTAATAATTTATATTCATTATAACTAAACTGATTATCATAAATTTTAAAATCAATTAAAACGGTGTTTTTACAAAGAACTTCTACTAATATTTTTACTCCTTCATAACCAAGTCTATTACTACTAAGATCTAAAGAAGTTAAGGTGTCATTTTTACAAAGTGCCTCGGCTAATACTTGTCCTTCCTTAAAGGTAAGTAGATTATTAGAAAGATTTAAATTAGTTAAAGTGGTGTTTTTACAAAGGACTTCTGCTAATGCCTTTACTCCTTCAAAAGTAAAATGATTATTACGAAGATCTAATGATGTTAATCTAGTATTTTTACAAAGAGCTTCTGATAATGCCTTTATTCCATTAAAAGTAATTTGATTACAACTAAGATTCAAAGAAGTTAAGTTTAAATTTTTGTAAAGAGCTTCTGCTAATATTTCTACTCCCTTAGAATCAAGTTGATTATAATAAAGGATCAAAGTGGTCAAAGTAGTGTTTTTACAAAGTGCATCTGTTAATACCTTGCTTCCTTTAAAATCAAGTTGATTTGCACTAAGATCCAATGAAGTTAAAGAAATGTTTTTACGAAGCGTCTCTGCTATCGCTTTTACTCCTCCAAAATCGATTTCATTATTTCTAACATTTAAAGAAGTTAAAGTAGTATTCCTGTAAAGAGCCTTTGCTATCACTTTCATTCCTTTAAACCCGAGGCCATTACAATGAAGATTTAAAGAGGTTAGGGTACTATTTCCGTAAAGTGCTTCTGCTAATGCCTTGCCTCCTTTGATACCAAGTTTATTGCCGTTAAGACTCAAAGAAGTTAGAGTGATATTTTTTTGAAGAGCTTCCGCAAGTGTTTTCACACTTTCAAATCCCAATTGATTATAACTAAGATCTAACGAGTTTAATGTAGTGTTTTTATATAGAACTTCAACAAAGATTTCTGCACCTTCCTGACCAAGTTTATTATTGGAAAGATTTAGAGAGAACAGAGTTGTATTTTCACAAAGAGCTTCTGCCAATATTTTTGCTTCTTTAGGACCAAGTCCACAATCACGAAGATTTAATGAAGTTAAAGAAGTATTTTTACAAAGTACATCTGCTAGTGCCTTTACATCTTCAAAACTAAGTCCAATTTGATTAATATCTAAGGAAATAATCGTGTTTTTATGAAGAATTTCTACTAATGATTTTACTATTTTATTATTAGAAATTTTTTCCAAATTTAAATACTTAATTTTTTCACTTGTTCTTAATAACATTGCGATTAATGAACTTTTAACTATTCGAACCACATTTTCAGATTTTTTATATTTTCCATAATATTCATAAAAATTATGAGGTTCATATCCTTCAATACAAAGCCAATTTACGATTCCTCTTCTTAAACTATAGCAATTAATCGAAGTAGTATAAGATGTGTATTCAAATAAAGGTTTTGGTTCATTTGGAAGTAATATATTTAATGAAATTAATGGCTCCTTTTCTTCTTCATTTAATGATAAAAGGTATATTTTTATAAGCCTTCTATCTCTACAATTCGATAATGGTTCACTCCATAATATTGGAATAACATTTCTACACCATTGACGGTTTACAAGAAGACATGAAAATAAAAATCTATAATAATTTCTAAGGTTATAAAATATTTCAAAAAGGCATTCATTTGGTAATGTTATCATTTGAAAAAGTTATGAGTAAAAATTTAAAAAAAAATAAGTACTGTACGATACGTACGAATTTATATAAATTGTTAACGAATAAACTATTAAGTGTTGTAGCACATGGTAACTCTATTTTTCCAAAGCAGATTCCCACTATTTTGAAATGAACTAATCGATAAACCATTTCTGGTTATTATTGATTACCCGGATTACCCGATGTTACTTTTATGACTCAATTTTACTTTGTTCTGTCTCTTTGTTGATATCTATCTGATTACTTACTTCCTATATTTAGTATTCTGTATAACTTACAGTATTCGGTTTTTTGTATTGATGTTTTCTTACTTTGTAACATATTCCATTATTTGCATACTTTATTTAGTTTCACATTGCTTCATTTATTTTGGCTGCTGTATTGTTTGTAATGCAAAGGTAGATTTACATTAACGCGTATAGTATTTATGACGCGTAGGCGTAATTATTGACTAGGAGTAGGAGGGAACGTTGTTGTTACACAACTGATTTACACACGGTGTGAAACACATAAAAAAATGATTTTACAATACTCGATCGGACTTGATCAGTCAACTAGTACATGT